GTTTTTTTCGGCTCAAAACGCCTTATGTGGTCATTTTTTTGGACTAAAAACGCCTGACTATATATGGTCGTTTTTTTCGGCTAAAAACGCCTTACTATACATGGTCGTTTTTTTCGGGTGAAAACGCCTTACTATACATGGTCGTTTTTTTCGGGTGAAAACGCCTTACTATACATGGTCGTTTTTTTCGGGTGAAAACGCCTTACTATACATGGTCGTTTTTTTCGGGTGAAAACGCCTTACTATACATGGTCGTTTTTTTCGGGTGAAAACGCCTTACTATACATGGTCGTTTTTTTCGGGTGAAAACGCCTTACTATACATGGTCGTGTTTTTCGGCTAAAAACGCCTTACTATACATGGTTGTTTTTTTCGGCTAAAAACGCTTTACTCTTCATGGTCGTTTTTTTTGGCTAAAAATGCCTGACTATACATGGTCGTTTTTTGTGTTAAAAACACCATACTATATATGGTCGTTTTTTTCGGCTAAAAACGCCTTCCTATACATGGTAGTATTTTGTGTAAAAAACGCCTGATTATATCTGATCGTTTTTTTCGCCTAAAAACGCCTTCCGATACATTGTCGTTTTTTGTGTTAAAAACACCTTACTATACATGGTCGTTTTTTTGGTCTAAAAATGACTTACTATATATGATCGTTTTTTTCGCCTAAAAACGCCTTCCGATACATTGTCGTTTTTTGTGTTAAAAACACCTTACTATATATGGTCGTTTTTTGTGTTAAAAACGCCTTACTATACATGGTCATTTTTTTCGGCTAAAAACGCCTTACTATACATGGTCATTTTTTTCGGCTAAAAACGCCTTACTATACATGGTCATTTTTTTCGGCTAAAAACGCCTTACTATACATGGTCATTTTTTTCGGCTAAAAACGCCTTACTATACATGGTCATTTTTTTCGGCTAAAAACGCCTTACTATACATGGTCATTTTTTTCGGCTAAAAACGCCTTACTATACATGGTCATTTTTTTCGGCTAAAAACGCCTTACTATACATGGTCATTTTTTTCGGCTAAAAACGCCTTACTATACATGGTCATTTTTTTCGGCTAAAAACGCCTTACTATACATGGTCATTTTTTTCGGCTAAAAACGCCTTACTATACATGGTCATTTTTTTCGGCTAAAAACGCCTTACTATACATGGTCATTTTTTTCGGCTAAAAACGCCTTACTATACATGGTCATTTTTTTCGGCTAAAAACGCCTTACTATACATGGTCATTTTTTTCGGCTAAAAACGCCTTACTATACATGGTCATTTTTTTCGGCTAAAAACGCCTTACTATACATGGTCATTTTTTTCGGCTAAAAACGCCTTACTATACATGGTCATTTTTTTCGGCTAAAAACGCCTTACTATACATGGTCATTTTTTTCGGCTAAAAACGCCTTACTATACATGGTCATTTTTTTCGGCTAAAAACGCCTTACTATACATGGTCATTTTTTTCGGCTAAAAACGCCTTACTATACATGGTCATTTTTTTCGGCTAAAAACGCCTTACTATACATGGTCATTTTTTTCGGCTAAAAACGCCTTACTATACATGGTCATTTTTTTCGGCTAAAAACGCCTTACTATACATGGTCATTTTTTTCGGCTAAAAACGCCTTACTATACATGGTCATTTTTTTCGGCTAAAAACGCCTTACTATACATGGTCATTTTTTTCGGCTAAAAACGCCTTACTATACATGGTCATTTTTTTCGGCTAAAAACGCCTTACTATACATGGTCATTTTTTTCGGCTAAAAACGCCTTACTATACATGGTCATTTTTTTCGGCTAAAAACGCCTTACTATACATGGTCATTTTTTTCGGCTAAAAACGCCTTACTATACATGGTCATTTTTTTCGGCTAAAAACGCCTTACTATACATGGTCATTTTTTTCGGCTAAAAACGCCTTACTATACATGGTCATTTTTTTCGGCTAAAAACGCCTTACTATACATGGTCATTTTTTTCGGCTAAAAACGCCTTACTATACATGGTCATTTTTTTCGGCTAAAAACGCCTTACTATACATGGTCATTTTTTTCGGCTAAAAACGCCTTACTATACATGGTCATTTTTTTCGGCTAAAAACGCCTTACTATACATGGTCATTTTTTTCGGCTAAAAACGCCTTACTATACATGGTCATTTTTTTCGGCTAAAAACGCCTTACTATACATGGTCATTTTTTTCGGCTAAAAACGCCTTACTATACATGGTCATTTTTTTCGGCTAAAAACGCCTTACTATACATGGTCATTTTTTTCGGCTAAAAACGCCTTACTATACATGGTCATTTTTTTCGGCTAAAAACGCCTTACTATACATGGTCATTTTTTTCGGCTAAAAACGCCTTACTATACATGGTCATTTTTTTCGGCTAAAAACGCCTTACTATACATGGTCATTTTTTTCGGCTAAAAACGCCTTACTATACATGGTCGTTTTTTTTCGCCTAAAAACGCCTTACTTTTCATGGTCGTTTGTTTGGACTAAAAACGCCTTAGTATACATTTTCGTTTTTTTTGGCTAAAAACGCCTTACTATACATGGTCGTTTTTTTCGGCTAAGAACGCCTTAGTATACATTATCGTTTTTTTCGCGTTAAAACACCTTACTATACATGGTCGTTTTTTTGGGCTAAAAACGCCTTACTGTACATGGTCGTTTTTTTCGGCTAAGAACGCCTTAGTATACATTATCGTTTTTTTCGCGTTAAAACACCTTACTATACATGGTCGTTTTTTTGGGCTAAAAACGCCTTACTGTACATGGTCGTTTTTTTCGGCTAAGAACGCCTTAGTATACATTATCGTTTTTTTCGCGTTAAAACACCTTACTATACATGGTCGTTTTTTTTCGCCTAAAAACGCCTTCCTACACATGGTCGTTTTTTTGTGTTAAAAAACGCCTTACTTTTCATGGTCGTTTCTTTGGACTAAAAACGCCTTAGTATACATTATCGTTTTTTTTGGCTAAAAACGCCTTACTATACATGGTCGTTTTTTTCGGCTAAGAACGCCTTAGTATACATTATCGTTTTTTTCGGCTAAAAACGCCTTACTATACATGGTCGTTTTTTCCAGCTAAGAACGCCTTCCTATACATGGTAGTATTTTGTGTTAAAAACGCCTTATTGTACCTGGTCGTTTTTTTCGGCTAAAAACGCCTGTAGTAGACAGGGTCATTTTTTTCGGCTAAAAACACCTTCCTATACATGGTCGTATTTTGTGTTAAAAACGCCTTCCTATACCTGGTCGTTTTTTTCGGCTAAAAACGCCTTACTATACATGGTCGTTGTCGTTTTTTTTGGCTAAAAACGCCTTACTATACGTGGTCGTTTTTTTCGGGCTAAAAACGCCTTACTATACATGGTCTTTTTTTTTGGCTAAATACGCTTTACTATACATGGTCGTTTTTTTGGGGGGGGGAAAACCTTTTACTATACATGGTCGTTTTTTTGGGGGGGGAAAAACCTTTTACTATACATGGTCGTTTTTTTCGGGTCACAAACGCCTTACTATATACATGGTCGTTTTTTGGGGGGTTAAAAAACGCCTTACTATACATGGTCGTTTTTTTCGGGTCACAAACGCCTTACTATACTATGTCGTTATTTTCGGCTAAAAACGCCTTACTATACATGGTCATTTTTTCGGGTCAAAAACGCCTTAGTATACATGGTCATTTTTTTCGGCTGAAAAAAAACCTTACGATACATGGTCGTTTTTTTCGGGCTAAAAACGCCTTACTCTTCATGGTCTTTTTTCGGGCTTAAAAACGCCTTACTATACATGGGTTTTTTTTTCAGGCTAAAAACGCCTTACTTTACATTGTCGTTTTTTTCAGCTAAAAACGCCTTCCTATACATGGCCATTTTTGGGTGGCTAAAAACGCCTTACTACACATCGTCGTTTTTTTCAGTTAAAAACGCCTTACTGTACATGGTTGTTTTTTTGGTTAAAAACGGCATACTATACATGGTCGTTTTTCGGTTAAAAACGCCTTGCTATACATGGTCGTTTTTTCGGTTAAAAACGGCTTACTTTAAACATGGTACTTTTTTTCAGCTAACAACGCCTTACTATACATGGCCATCCGTTTCTTCGGCTAAAAACCCCTTACTATATCCATGGTCTTTTTTTTCGGTTAAAAAAAAACATACTATTCATTGTCATTTTTTCTGTTAAAAACGCCTTACCATACATGGTATTTTTTTCAGTTAAAAACTCATGGCCGTTTTTGGGGGGCTCAAAACACCTTACTATACATGGTTTGTTTTTTCTCTGCTAAAAACGCCTTCCTACACATCAATCCCATTTGACTTTTGTGGCTATGGCAAGCCCACCAAAATCACCAATTTGACCAAATGTTCAGATAGCTTTTGCAACCAAAATCGTTATGTAAGCCATTTCAAACCAAATTTCTCCCAATTGAATTTTTTCAAAATTGGATCTCATTTGGAAGCTGGCAAAGTTGTAGAGTGTAAAACAATTGAGAAACTCACTGCCATTCTACTGTGGTGCCAATGGGAATCCACCAAATACACCAACTTGACCAAAACTTAGTTTTGCCTCTCCAGCCAAAATGGCTACAGAGGACTTTTCAAACCAACTTTATTCCAATTTCTTGCCAATCAAATTTTTCAAACTGGATGTCACTGGAAAGTTGGGTATGGGTAGAGTATGAAACGGGTCAGAAAGTCAACATCATTTCACTTTTATATCAATGGGTTACCACCAAAATCAACAACTTGACCCAAAGTGGATGCAACCCCTGCGTTGGGAATACCAATATTGCACATCTATTTTCTGATCCGCTTATCCTCACGAGGGTCGCAGTGCGTGCTGGAGCCTTTCCCAGCTGTCTTCGGGCAGTAGGCAGGGTCCACAAACAACCATCCACGCTTACACTCACATCTAGGAACAATTTAGAGTGTTCCAGTAACCTGCCATACCATGTTTTTGGAATGTGGGAGGAAACCGAAGTACCCGAAGAAAACCCGCGCAGGCACGGAAAGAGAAAAAAAATCTGGCATGCACGTGCTCATTTTGGTGAAGACATGGGGCGGGCTCCTGCGCTACTTGTTGAAAACCAATGTTTCAAGGAGTTCGATGTCAGACTCCAGCTGTTGCATCTCCCCCTCCAGTCGCGTCTTACGGTTCTTCAACATCGGTGTGTCTATGACAAATGGGAGGCGCTGGTAGGATGTGTTCAGCTTTCCAAGTTTCTTCTTCAGGTCCTAAGATTGTGAAGAAAAAAAAGTATTACGGCTGAACATAGCAAAAAAGAAAAAGTGACACACAGGGTTTGTGTCTTATGCCACATATCACATCAACCTCCACAGTCTGAGTTTCAATTAAAAAAAATAATGAAATTCAGCCTTTATGTATTCAATTATACTGAGTTCTGGTAGACAGTGGTAACACAGTGGAGCCTCAAAAGGTGAATGCTTTCCAAAAAAATGTTTAAAATGTCAAACAAAATAGGGGACTTCAAACCACCATCATCATGGACAATGACCACAAATCTTGTGAGATGTCAGCTCAGTGAGCATCTTCTAAAACGATAATTCCACAAGCGTCTTTTGTTTTTTTTCCATGTGATTTTGTGATACTGCCCACGCACGAACACCCGTGATGACAAAGGATGGCACAAAACTGCCTATCAAGAAACCAACATTAAGTACAATAACTCATTAGTATGTTTTTTTCGGAAAATCCAACGCACTCAAAATTGTAATACTTTTGTACTATGTTTGTCCTGCATATTTCAAAATCCGCAAGACCTGAAACCTACTACTCATGGCCTCCCCAAATGTAGAACAGGGTAATCTAAGACACCTAACCTCACTCAAACATTCAAATTCAAAACCATTTTCAGGTTACTGTTTCTTAACCGATTATTTTGGGTTTTTTTTTTTTTTGTTTGGTTACTAAAAACAAATCAACAACAACAATGCAATGTCACATATCATTATCATATCAAGATTTCTTTGCAACAATATGTTCTATGTGCAGACATTAGTCTTAACACCATATTCTTATGCATTTGTGGAATAAGAACTAAGCAGAAAAATCACACATTTTTAGCCATCTAAGAGGATTGACATTTTGTCCTGTACTGCCACCTGCTGTCGACTGATATTTACATCACAATGCACATGGGCTGGCTTTACAAACATCATGTAAAAGAAAATGCTTGAAAAATCTGGCATTTTACGTCTATTGTGATCAATTACCTCAATGATTTCACGACACTCTTCCTCTGTCAGGTTTTCGATTTCCGGCTCCTCTGGTTTCGTCACCTCAATCATACTTTTCTCCTCCAGAGACTTTGGGTGCTTTCCTTTGCGCCGCAGTAGATATGCGGGTATCTCACCATAATCCTTCAATATAAAACAAAAAACCCAACATCACGTTTCTAAAAAGTAGATTTTCAATCAGAGCCCTATCCTAAACATGATTCCAATATATTTTTGCATGCTGGTAAATGTTCTCTATATGAAAATACCTTTTTCCTGATGTACACAGGCACAAGTCCGGAGAGTTTATTATGAAACTCCTTGTGCCCCTTGTTGGTGTCAACAATACAAAGGGGCGGCTTGGACACCTTTGGCGAAGCTGTAAACATCCTTTTTGCCGGGAGGCCAGCGGGGAGCAGAAATGACCCCGCTGACACCAGTGGCTTCTTTGAGGCGCTGGTACAAAACACATTCCTGACATGTGGTTTGACTGGAAAACATAACGTAGGTGAGAAAAGAACAATCGACACTCGAAGGATGCATCACAATTCAATGGTGTGTTGTTAAGACTCACTATCGGGCAACTTGGATTCAAGTGAGAACTTTGTCAGGTAGTTTGCTGGATGCTGCAGCTCAATTACTGTTGTCGTTACGTTATTTTGCCTTGAGCTGGACACATACCTGAAAAAAATAGCACAAAAAAATAACCCGTCAGTATTTAATAAAACAAGCTAGTTTCATTCTCGAAGCGTTGCTATTAAAACTGGCACTGTAATCTATTTATTCGGTATTTCTTATTATTAACACACACACACACACACACAAAATACATTAAAAATATGCCAAATAAGCTTCAAACTGTCAAGAAAGCCACCTGTGTGCCCAACCAAATTTATACATTTAAACACGCTATCACTCCAATTGGTCGACAATGTCATCGGTATACAAAAAGTACATTGAAAAAAAAAATGGTGACGATATAAAATTGAGTCTATTCAATTCACTATTTTTTTTTTCAGTGTAGGTAATGTAAAACATTTTGGGTGATTAAAATAAATAACAAAAACAGCCAGGAATATCCAGTTGTTTTTCCTCCCCTCGAAATAAGTGTGCGCACATTACCTCTTTGGTTTCTCCATGACAACATTATTTTGAATGAAATTATGAATTGTGTCCTGTGGGTACATTTCCCCAATGCAACTCAACGAGATGGACTCCAATAAGCAAGCACTCAAGCAAGCTTGCTGGTTCCGATCCAAACACCTTTGAGCAACGAAGGCTGGGGGGGAGGGGAAAAAAACGTCCCCATGTAATGTTGTGTAATGAATCTGACAATTGACGATGCCGTGTTGTGCCTGTGTATTAAGGCGAGCCGCTCTGTACGCGTCCCAAGCTAGCTTCGTCCTACCGCATGACGTCGTCGTGTTTCTCTGTGTATTAAGGGTGCGAGTTGAAATCCTAATGACCGAACGAGTCAATGATGTCCCTCGATCGTTAATAGGTAAAAAAAAAAGAAACGACTTCAATTTAATCGCAATAAGTTTAATTACTGCGTGAGAAAAATATCCATTTACCCCGTTGTCTCTGCTGCGAATTATTTTGATCTGTGGTAAAACGGGTATGGTGTCAAACTCCTTTTAAGTTAGTCCTACTCTGTTGAAATGTGCATCAATGCCGTTTTAATTAATTCTTGAATTTTGCCAGCACTACAAATTAAAACGGTAAATGTACGTAAATGCATCCATTGCACATACGTTTGTTTTCTTCGTAAAACACGCGGCAGCATAGACATGATAAATTTATGTATTAAATGCACTTCTAGGCCATAAATATTAAATAATGACATGAAAAACAGTAAATTCGACGATGGCTGTCTGACTTAGCGATATGTTCTTAATGTATAGTCTGACACCACATAGTTCACGCCGCTTGTAATCTTGAAACAAACCTCGTAAACCGAGGACCGATTTTATAGTTATTCTTCCCTGTAATGTGGGGGAGGAGGCATAATAAGTCACGATAATACAATTTTGATGAGAAAGTAAGTCATACGGACTCATTGGGCGTCTTCCCGATTTATTTGATCTGTTTAGTCGGACTGCAATAATTCAATTCGACACTAGGTAGCGCCAAATACAAAGGTAAAAGAATCGCCATTTTTCTGAATGGAAAGTAACGTCGCCTGCTCTACAGTCTCCCGCGTATCATGGCTCGAAGTCAATCTGTTCAACTATTAGTCTGCATTAAAAATTCAACTTTTTAAAATTCGACTTTTTTTGGCCTGCAATGAGCAGTATGGTGGTGTAGAGTGGGTCTGCCGCACGGTTCTGAGGTTTGGGCTTTCCAATTCAGATTCAGATGTTCCTGTCTTTGGGGGTTGCATGTCCTCTCCTCGTGCTCCAAATACGTGCACGTGTGAATGGGAGTTTGACTGTTAATGTGTGCCTTGAATGGCTGATGACACGTCATTTCATTTGTAGGTCTACCAGTTTAATAAACACTTTTGAAATAATACATTTGCTCATATTAATCTTGAATAATAAACATCGATGTGAAAACACTGATACACAATAATTATCAACAATGATTGAACAAGATGAAAAAGTGACTTCCAGCTTTTCCCTGTCAGGGGTTGCTGTAAATATCTATTTGCAACAATTGATACAAATTAAATATTTTATATAAATCTGCGAACGTGTTTAACTTTTCAAATGTTCACGCTTGGACCAATCCCAGAAAATCACAATGTCCCATCACCTGTGAGCAATATTTCAAAGGGGGCTATCGATGTGGTCCCTGTAGGGGGCCTCCCTTCTAATTAGTAGGAAGTAATTTTAATTGCAAAATGTCAATCGTTGCGTTTCTGTTGACAGTGCACGACAATAAACTTCTTGAAACCGACCTAATTGTATAGCGAGGTTGGTTCACAGTCGGCCTCTTACTGTACTTTCTGAATTTGTGCTTACTTTACTTGGACATTAAAGTCTGACAGTTTTGTTTGCGATTCCCTCCTTGAAGAATTTGTTTCCCCTGCTAAATCAACATCATGACGTTCTAATATAATCCAGAGTGTTTTATATGAATATTGGGAAAACCGTCGTAAACACAAAGATAATCAAAGCCGCCGAGTGAAACATATTTTAGTAAGCTCAAGTCAGGCTTTCTGGGACTGGATGGTGGAATTAAATTTATAGGGCTTCTAAATCAGGTTTGTGTTTCACACAGGGACAATCTCATCTAAACAATTCAGGCGACTGACATCTTGCTGACATGAATGCAAGGTTAATGGTCACTTCTCTTTTCATTTCCTGTGCTAAAAGACTTTCAAGTCAGTTTCCCACCAATTCATTTCAAATGAGCCAAAATTAAAAAAATAAAAACTATTTTGGGTGCTTTTAATTAGATTCCCTTGTGTTCAACATACACAGCAATGCTTGGTGCGTCACTCTTGGACTCTGTCTTCAGGAATGAATGCTTGCAAATTGAATTGAGAAATCATGGTGACAGATTGTCAAATTTAGGGACAAGAACCACTTAATGTTTCTATATGTTTCATTTTCACTTAAGCAGACAATGCGGAGTACTTTTGTGATGGAAGTTAATTTGATCACAACAAGCATGCTACTTTTAGACAAAAAAAGAGCTATCCTTGTAATTTGTGTTTAACAACTGGCTACTTTGAGTAATTAAATGATGATGAAGTCATCATATTAGGGTCATCTTTACTCTCCTTCCATTCATCCGTGTCCAGCTTTTACTGCTCGTCCTCATGAGGAGCCCCCTGTAGCTGACTTTGGGTGAACCGCAGGGTACACACAAGGGTCATTTTAGAATTGGACGACATGTTGCTATCTGACAACCTTACACAAATTTTCTAATAAGCCATTCATGAGATCCAGAAACAGTATGGCTTGTATTACTGAAACATGTCGGTTCATCACAGATTGATTTTAAATCGGCATTATATTCTACTCTGAAGGTGAATGTCAACCTACACATGCACCACCCCCAAAACTTCTTAGCCATCTCGAGGAAGAGGAAAAAAGTGAGCAACATGACTCAGCATGAATGACATCATCAAGCTGACCAAAAGCTAAACTAAGTCTTCTATTTTTCACATTTAAAAAAAAAAAATGTTTTTAGCCATCATGGAGTTTGTCACTCAAGCCAGTGCAAACCAGTTACTCATAAGAAAAAAAAAAAAGATTCAGCCTCGAACCTCAGAACTGGAAGCAGACTTGCTCTATCCATTATTTGACTGCGTTGCAGCAAGAGCTGTTTCCTCCAAATTAACCATGTAGTACGTATGCCAATGCAAACAACAACCAAAATAATAAATCATTTTTTACTTAGCAGTCTCAATGTCAGTCAAACATTATCTTTTGTTATATAAGTTAATTAAATTGTTCCGGTGATGATTCTAATTCTATAATTCATGAGGCAACTTGTTTTGTCTGGGTGGAATAAGTTAAAGCTCTACTGTGTGGAGAGTTCAAGAGAGATATTGTTTGTCACAAAGGGAAAAAAAATGATTAGAGTCCCCCCCAAAAAAACTGAAAGATAAGTTCCAGGAAAAGCAAAACTCCTAAAGTTAAAATAACAGTCTGCACGGGAAAGTGACTCAAATGAATCAGGCCATATGACAATTAATAAGACACAGGGAACTGACAAGTGAACAAAACCTGGGGACTAACTCACACTTCCAGTGTGACAAAACAAGAGACAGCTGGGAAGATGCCAAGAAAAAAAAAAACGTTTACAGGCGTGCACAACTCCACAATGAGCTCGGAGGAGGAGTAGAGAAACAGGAAAACATGCACAAGTGAAAACTCCCAATTAGTTTTCTTCACTGTAGACGAAAAACTGGTGCTGGTCTAGGGTGTTCCGCCAGACTGGAACTGATGAAATGAGGCACAAACAGCCAAAGGCAAGAAAATGGGGAAAGGAAAGAGGCCAACAAAGTCGGGATCACAACATTTCCTCAAAGACAGATTTTATTTTAGTGGGTATACTTCTGAGTTCATCAATTGGAGAACAAAAAAAAAAAAACAATAATTAGTTACTGTTGCCTTCGGTGATCTGCAAAAAGGCTCCAGTTCACCTGTGAACCAAATGACAGGCGACACAGAAAATAGGTGGTTGAATGGAGGCGTTTACTGCATCCTGAGCACAACAGCAGCAATAGTTTTAGTTTTAGTTTTGTTTTAGCAATTGCAAAAAGGCTCCAGTTCACCTGTGAACCAAATGATAAGCGACACAGAAAATAGGTGGTTGAATGGAGCGGTTTACTGCATGTCATGTCCTTAACACAACAGCAGCAATAGCTAGCTCCAATATTTGCTAACTTAATGGATCATTAGACAATTTGTTTTCAAATATTGATTATTGTGTATATTTTCCAGGCAAGGTAATAATAATAGCTTAAAAAAAACACCTCACAGATGCTCCGTATATTTAAAAAAAACTTTAAGACCTGGGACGGGTCCTGATTCATAGACAGATAATATTCCGCAACCCACTGGTGGCACAACAACAAAATGCATTCTGAAATGGCATTGCAGCACAACAACAAACAGCCACGGGACAGGCAAACAAAAGGGGGAGGAGCCTTGTCGTCGGGGACAGAAGGCTGAGGTGAGTACCGGAAAAAAAAAAACTGACAAGGCAGAAAGGACAGAGGC